AGCACTGAGGTGAAATCTGACTTCAGAACAGTTTAAAATTATGTAATGGACTTGGGAAAGCCACAGCAAAAGACGGTGTTACTAGATGCAATGTGAAATTATCGTACATTTGAGGATTTTTGAAACTATTGATCGTACATCGTACAGAGCCCAAAATTATGGTACAAATACGATAATTATCGTACAACTGGCAACACTGACAGCAACATGCAACCCCAATCTGCATGAGGGGAGGAGCCAAGCTGGTGACCTGCATGAGGGAAGGAGCCAAACTGGTGACCTGTGTGAGGGAAGGAGCCAAACTGGTGATCTGCGTGAGGGGAGGAGCCAAATTGTGAGAGCTTCTGTGACGTAATAGTTCAATCAGCCAATCCACCCAGAAACTCTGACCAGCACTAGCATATAAAAGTCCTGGACGTACGGCTCTTAGTAAAGGCTTACGTCACAGCTTGGTCGCTCTGGTCATCAGCTAGCAATGCTACACCACGCTCAGGACAATCCAGACTCGCATCATGAGTCGTTCCACAGATGTGAAATGACCTACCAAGCACTACCAGAACAGGGGCATCCTTGTCGATTTTCAAGAAACTCCTGAAGCTCTTCAGACAGCATCTTCTAAACTAGCACCCTCCCAAAACCCGTCCCTCACTCTACTGCACACTCCTTGTTCACTTCCCTCTAGGATTCATCATACTGCCTCACTGCCACCGAGGACTGACTAGTTAGTGTTTGTTGTTGGCCTCAAGAGCAACCTGCTGCTTCATTATCACCTGGAAGTCTCTTTGACAAAAGTGTCTGCTACATACATAAACATGAGTGAAAACCTAGAGGATAGTTTTATTTATTTTTATTTCCCTTTTATTTGTAAAGAAGTTTTATTTTGTAGTACCTTTGAGGATAAATATCATACATCACTTCACAAGCACTGTTCTAAATAAATACATTGATTAATAATAATAATAATAAACAGACTAATTACAGTTCATTCATCTGGCAAAACAAAACCAGAAAAAGTTCTTACATAAATAGCTGAATTGACCTTTCTACTAGTGCTGGTTTTACCTCCTCTTACCCACCAGCAGCCTGTTACCACAGACCTTCTCCAGGTGGAAAATGGTTTTCTCAAAACAATAGTTTTATTTCTCCAAAAAGTATCCATGTGAACACAAGTAGTTACCTAGCTGCTGTTTGCTGATGGACCTACAGCTGTTGGCAGCAGGACGCTCCACCTGCAGGGAAAACCTGGAGAGCACAAAGGGCTCACATCACTTCCCTGTGGGGGAGGGACCGAGGCATGTGGACAGAAGAGAAGGCTGCTAACCACCTGTATGGGCTTGTGTGTCTCCCCCCCTACACAAACACACACACGCTCACGCACACACACACACACACACACACACACACACACACACACACACACACACACACACACACACACACACACACAAACACACACACGCTCACGCACACACACACACACACACACACACACACACACACACACACACACACACACACACACACACACACACACACACACACACACACACACACACACACACACACAGCAGCACAGACATTTATCACATCACAGCTTAACTTGTTTTTCTATGATGGGATGTGACGACAGATCGTGTTACTGGTTCATGAACTGAGACTCAGTCATTGCATCATGACATCAGCTGCACAGTCCTCCTGTAGCTTCATCACCTTTGACCTACAGGTCAACCTGGTGGTGGAGCATCCAGAAGAAACTAGTTCTGACTTTCTGGTGTCATCATCAACACCCACCTGGATTCAGCCTAGAGGTAAATTTCAGTTGGAGAATCTAGAATAGGCCACCAGAACCACATCATTATGCTACCGCCTCCGTGCTTCACAGTTAGAGAACAGATCCACTTGTTCTGTTTGTCTAATTTCTCCAGAAGACATTTGTCTTGTCCTTGTGGACGGCTGCAGCTTCCAGATGGGGTTAATGGTGTCTTTTATAGAGCAGGACATTCCTCATCAGCTGTTCACCTAGTCACCTGTCAACAGGTAAGCCTGAGCCCTGCTAGCTCCTGAACATCATATTTCAGGATGCTGCCTTTCATATATTAGGGCAGCAGTAGCTCAACAGGTTCAGCGGGTTGTCTAGTAATCGGAAGGTTGCAGGTTCGATCCCGGCTCCGGAGAGAGAATTCTGCTGTTGTGTCCTTGGGCAAGACACTTAACCCACCTTGCCTGCTGGTGGTGGTCGGAGGGACTGGTAGCGCCTGTGCTCGGCAGCCTCGCCTCTGTCAGTGCGCCGCAGGGCAGCTGTGGCTATATCGTAGCTCATCTCCATCAGTGTGTGAATGGATGAATGATACACTGTAGTGTAAAGCGCTTTGGAGTCCTTACTCTGAGAGGCGCTATACAAGTACAGGTCATTTATTATTTATTTATCATTTCCTGTGGTCTGAGTGGGACAGAAGGGTGTTGATCCATCTAAAAAGTTCTGTCTGACTTATCTAAACAGAAACTAGCCGCAGTCAATCATTAACGAGTCTTGAACTCTTTGGCCTTCCTGGATCCTTCAGCACCACAAGTCTGTGTAGAAGACTTGAAATCCACGTCAAAGACTTTTCATCAAGATTTATACAAACTGATGAGTGAATGAAAATAGCAGTGGGATTATTTTGACAGCTGTCCAGAGCAGGTATGATACTGACCACTCATGATGGCTCAGTCATAAACAACCCTGAGAAATCCTGTTTCACCTTTAATGGCAAATAAATGATGAGAAACGTTACTTTTTCTGTGTAGGACGTCCTCCTGGTCTGATGAAATAAAAGTTTCCCACCAACAAGACGCTTGTCCCAAGATGTCCCAGGAGGACACCAAGAGGAGGACAAAACTTCAGTAAGTTTGAGGTTTTTTCATGTGTTTGAAGGCTGATTTAACGCTGGCGTGAGTGAAGAAGCAGTGAGGCAGACGTCAGTGGACCCATCATGAACACATGAAAGGAAGTGAATCACTCAACCTTCAAACCCAAGAAGCTCACTGTAATCTGACACTGCTCATTGTCTTCCTCCCACTCTTCCTCCCTCATTCCATTCCTCTTTGTTCCCTCCCTCCTTCCATCTCTCATCTCACGCTGACCATTCTGTTGGCTAAGTGGCGGCCATCGTTCTGCCCCCACATCCCTCCGTCTGGCTGTAAGATGGGTGGAGGCAAAAGATAAGATCTCTTAATTGCTTTGTGAAGTCTTTCACAGCTACTCACTCTAAAGGGGTTCACATCCTGCTGGAACAGCTGAGGGAGGACAGACGTTCCCACCACAGCCCAGGCTTCTGCTGGGCTTGGCCCAACAGAACCAGAGGTCACGACCTGCTGCTGGTTTGGCTCCAGTCAAACTTTTCATGATGAAACATAAAACCCACCATCAGCCTCATTGGTTTTATCAGTGTCACAACTACTCTTCATCTCAGATCTTTGTCTTCGTGAAGATCTGTTTCTGAGCCCAGCTGGGTCTTCCAGTTCAATATGAATGAACCCAAATAAGCCCAACATAGGTCATAAAACACAGACAGGTACCACCAGAACAGCGGTAATGCTAAGTATCTGCCCATGTTAGGTCTAGATCGTGATTACAGCGTGCATGTGCAAAACAGATCATCACTAGGAGACAAAAGCACGAAGCTGCAGATCGATTATCTAAGATGCTCCCAGGCTTTAACTGGAGTCATGGAGAAATGGCATCATCACTAGTTCCGTTGTTATTCCTGGATCTAAGGGAAGTCCCAAGTCCAGGAGTGAAGCTAATAGGGGAATTATGGATTATATATCTGAGGAATGTGGCCGATGGAAGCATCCACTAGTGACATCAGCTTCATGTCCGACATGGAACATGATGAGCTCTTCTCATTTGTCTCCTTCGTTCTTCATCCTGTGACTCAAAAATCAATGTCAGCAAGTCAGACGGATGTATCAATAAATAAAAAGGCACTCAGAGGGAGAAGAGTGGGCTTGCTGGAGAGAGTTTGTTTCTGTCTGATGCAACGTCCACCCAGACGGAGTTTCGGTTGTCCAACTGCAGCACAAATGAAGACAAACACAAGGAAAGATCTGGTTTAACTGGGTTTACGTGTGGAAACGAATACTGAGGGTATTCTGAATAAGTTCCTTTTGGCCCTTTAAGTGATTTGGTTTTTGAAAAGGGAACATGAAACTTCAGCTACTGTTTTTCAGAGACGTGTCCGTAGCTTCAGAGATCACACGTCAGTCACTTCCTCACACATTCATATAAACACCAGCTGGTCTGGTGTGTGGCGCCGATGATGCTAAATCTAAATGTTCAGTCTCATTTTAATTTACAGCAACGTCAACAGACAGAAATGAGATATTTAACCAAATATTCAGCAAACACACTAATACTTCAGACTCCTCCAGAATAAGAGCGGTGTGAGCAGGTCCCCTTCCTCAGATCCACTGTTATGGTAAAATCATATCAGTACGTTTAATTATGGATGATGAATCCATGTGCAGGTGTAGGCCAGATGTTCTAAACAGACAGGAGGTCCTCACCCTGCCGGGTTCTCCAGGCGTCTGAATTTGAGTTTAGTTCAACTTTTATCTTAAAGCCACTTTTGTGTTTAGTTTTAAATATTTAGATTTAAGTTTCTATACTTTGATTTATTTTCGTCTAGATTTACATTTAAAGACTCAGAAGAAACATTTTCATTTCCTTAAAATACTGGAAGAAGTGACTATTTTGCAATCGAGACTTCAGCAAGATTTAGCAGTGTGTGTGCGTGTGCTTGTGTGTGTGTGTGCGTGTGTGTGCGTGCTTGAAAGAGAGAGAGACAGAGAGACATAGACAGCGAGAGAGTCAGAGAGACAGAGAGACACACAGAGAGAGAGAGAGAGAGAGAGAGAGAGAGAGAGAGAGAGAGAGAGAGAGAGAGAGAGAGAGAGAGAGAGAGAGAGAGAGAGAGAGAGAGAGAGAGAGAGAGAGAGAGAGAGAGAGAGAGAGAGAGAGAGAGAGAGAGAGAGAGAGAGACTTACTCCCTGTGGATGTCTAATTGTTTTCTGTTTCTGACTGCTGAGATGTTCGTAATGAAACTCCTGGTTTCTACCTTCTCAGGTGTTCGGTCTCCATGACCATATGAGGAACCCGGAACTGGCGCACCTGTGAGCTGACGTCACACGCTGAAAGTACCTGCTGTGGGTCACAGAGCAGAAACAGAGTGAAACTCGAGGAAGAAGCTACGGACGGGATTTATTAGGGATTACGCCCAAAGTGACGTGGGATTTTAGTTCTTTGGTCGGTTTTTCTTCGCGGGGAGAGTCGACTAAAGCTCGGACACACACATGGCTACCGCTCGGGTCGCCGTTTGCTGCCTTTTATTCGTGTTTCAGGTAAAACTTCCTGATTTCCTCGAGGCGCAGTTGGATTTTACTGAGACTGAAGCTGTTGGGCTGAGTCCACAGAAACCTTTCTAACCTTATTTAGGTGTTTAAATAAGGATGTTTATTAATGAGCTTTTATTGGGATTTTTTCATGTTTTAGCACAAACTTGTGTTTCAATTGAAAACATTTTAACGGCCGCTAAAGCCGCCAGGTTAACTTGGTTAAATGAAACTACTCGTTAGTTTTACTGGTTCAGGTCGGCCTCGCCCTCCTTCCGGCGACTGCAGGTAAAATTCTAACTGAGGGTTAGGGTTAACGTAGCAAACTAAGCGGTGGTTAGTCATGTTGGTGACCAACTAGGTGGGAAGGGTAACTAGCAGGCTTGGATGTCCTAGAAGAAGAAAAGATCTTCTGATGAAGATGAAGCGCCTCTCAAATCACGAGGTGCTTCACAAAAACAAAAATATAAAAAAATTAGAAAATGGTTAAAAATATATTTAAAGTAAGCAAAAAAAGACAATTGTGATTAAAAATGTAAAGAAAGCGAGTGAATAGAAAAGAGGGAAATCAGTGGATCCTGAGGAAGGTGGAATAGGTGGGGAGAGCAGAATAGAGTGGTGAAGAAGGTCATACAAAAGCTACTTTGAACAAGTGAGTCTTCAGCTGCTTTTTAAAGGAGACCACTGAGTCCACTGATCTCAGGCTCAGGGGGAGAGAGTTCCAGAGCGGATGTTCTGTCACCTTTGACCTTTAGCCTGGTGCGTTGCACAACCAGTAGGCTTTGGTCACTGGACCTCAGGAACCTGCTGGGGGTGTAGGGACTAAGAAGATCACCAATGTAAGATGGTGCTTGTCCATGTAAGGCCCTATAGACCAGAACCAGGATCTTGAAATGAACCCTGAAGTTGACTGGCAGCCAGTGAAGCTGGAGGAGAAGCGGGGTGATGTGGGTGTGTTTGGAGGACTTGGTCAGAAGCCGAGCACAGGCATTCTGAACCACCTGTAGACGGTTCAGGGCGGTTCTGCTCAGACACGTGAAAAGAGAGTTACAGTAGTCTAAGCGTGAGGAGATGAAGGAGTGGATAACTGTCTCAAGTTCAGAGCGGGACAGAATGGGACTCAGCCTAGCAATGTTCCTGAGATGGAAGAAGGAAGAGCGAACAACAGAACTGACATGAGAATCCAGGGTGAGAGCTGGGTCAAAGGTCACGCCAAGATTCCTGACAGGGTTTGGTGTGGGAAGCAGGCTGACCAAGAGATTCTCTGACTTTGGGAACCAGCTTGTCTGGGGCACAGATGGGGATCTCAGTATTATCTTCATTCAGCTGTAGAAAGCTCCCAGCCATCCAGGTTTTGATAGAGTCTAAGCAGGTGTGTAACAGCTGCAGCTTAGACATCTCATGGGGCTTAAAGGAGATGTACAGTTGGATGTCATCTGCATCCTAACTAGTAAACCGGCTGGAGCTGGGGTCTGATTTAAATATTAGCTGAACTCAATAATAAAACTTAATAGTCTTGCATGAATATAGAATTAATAAGTTTAACCCTCTCAGGCTCAAAATAGGTGTTGCTAAAAGGACGAACAACTAAGCCCATCAGGGGTAAATGCTCATGAAATACTAGGTGGGTAGGTTTAACACCTGCCTCCAGAGGGTTAACTGTTGATCTGTTTGGTGTTTGAGGTAAAGAGATAAGAATAAAACCAACGTTGTTTCTCTGCATGTGAAGTAAATCGTTTCCCTTTATGCTTGTTTTGAATTCCTTATTTTGGGAAAATGGAAAACTGGATTCAGTCTGAAAATGATTTAATGTTAAACAGTTTTAAACGTAAATCAATGGAGCTACTAACCCATAAAGCATCATTTTGTTTAGACTTGTTTTCTGAGGCAGGTCTGATCACGCTCTTCTCTCCTAGGCCTCGGGCCTGCTGGCAGCTGAGGAGTCAACATGTGTTCCAGGATTCAAGTCTGACTTTTTAATATTCAAAGTCAGCAGAAAACACCTGAATCGAGGCACACGGCTGGGCAAAGGTACGAGTGATCATGACACTCCGTAATGCTTCACATTCCTGAAGGGTTTCCACTGCTGGGAGTCTCTTCATATGGAAAAGGTTCATTAACATCCAAGCTTGTGCTAAAGAGCTGCATTTGGTTGTGTGAAAGCAGCCTGAAGGGCTTCAGGTCTCAGCTTGCACTCGGCTCCACACCCCAGGTAATGCGCTCACCTTCAGGTCCAAACAATGTCCCCGAGCCTGTTCCACCGGCTTTGCTTTGCAAAGGCTGTTGGGAGCTGCACTTAAGGGGGTTGGGCTTTTTACCTTTCACTGTTGGAAGTGAAGAGCCTTTACAGGATGCAAAGTCCTTCACAATAAAATAGATGTAGATAAAATGCAAAGGTGTGAAACCAAAACAGTAGAATTTATATAATTGATATGATTTTAAAACTGGTTAATTGGAAACATTTTTTAGATTAATATCCAAACCTGAAATCAAACGGAGGGTGATACGTTGTTTCTGAACGTGTCCCCGATCTGCCAAAGCACAAAGGCCATACAATCTACACATATCTAATCGGCAATAGAAGAGCATGTTTCCGCCCGGACCGTTTTAGATGCAACACGCTTCGAGCCTGATCCTGTTGAAGTGATTTTTGGACTGCCCCCAATAGGGCTTGTGATTGTTGTCATCACTGGCACAGCCGCCATGTTTATAGCCTTGTTGTTACTTCAGACAACCGCGCGCTCAGTCTCTCAGCTTCATGTGATCCATTATTACTCAACCATGGTAATCGTTGCTGTGTTGTGGGGTGCAACAATGCAACATGTATCATGTGATCGCCGGTAAAAAACTGGCTAACTTTTCACCGTTTTCCTGTTTGGTGTCATAACCATGGAGACCAAGTATCTAACATAACCAAGTGCCATCGGCTCGCTGTAGGGCAACGGTGTCCAACTCAAATTCCCACCGGGCCAAAATGAAAAACTGGGACGAAGTCGCGGGCCAAACTTTTTAAAAAAGTGACGCAAATGTGCAGATTTTCCTTTATCTACAGACATGAACGGTTGAAACTTTTCATTTGGAAACACACTTATTTTTGCAGTAACACTGAATGTGGAATAACCACCTTACACACGAGCAAGTCCATTTTAAATAAAGCACATCCGTGGTATTCGTTACTTATGTCTCAATTTTTAAATAGTTTATTCCTTAAAATCTGCACATATTCAGCATTTCTTCTTATTTTTTATCTTTTGAATCTTTTAGGTGTCTCTATTTTGTTTTCTTGTTTATTCTTTATTTTGGACTCTCCTTTGTTGCTCCTGTAATGAATGTTATTGCTGCTGTGTGTGACACCAAGCTTTGCCCACTGAGGGACAAAAAGGGATTTTCTATTTTATTTCTATTCTATCTGTATTCTGTCCTGTTTTAAAGTAGGTTTAATTTATTTTCACAGACCAACAACACAAATAAAAAATGGTCATTCTCTTAAATGAAAATGCAATATCTCACTTATTAACTTTCATGCTTTGGAGCAGGAAAGGTTAATAAAAGCAAAATAATTCAGTCCCAGTTTTCTCCACTCTGGTTTCCTGTGATGCTCACCCGTTCCACCAGACCTGCACCTGTGGGGTTGGGCTCTGAGCTGAGGAAGGAGTTCATCAGTGAGAAACAGTTGCTCACACAAGTTTGTGCTGCTGGACATGGAGAGCATCTGGATCATGCAGTTGTGTCAGGGAGGGGGATCAAAGCCGCAGCAGCCACAGTCATGTGACTTGAGCGTGTTGCTAACCTGGAGTTAAATCATCTGGGTCTGGAAGTTGGTCGGCGCGCTTTCTATTCAATTCAGTTCAAAAATACTTTATTAATCCCAGAGGGAAATTGATTGCTGTAGTTGCTCAGAATAATAATAATAATCAAGTCATCAAAGAGTTGTTGTATAGTACAATGGCTGTTGGCAGGAAGGATCTCCAGTAGTGGTCAGTGTTGCAGCCAAACTGAAGAAGCCTCTGACTGAAGACACTCTTCCGTTGTCGGACAGTCTTGTGAAGAGAATGCCCAGGGTTGTCCATAATTTTCTTGATTCTCTGGAGAATCCTTCTTTGCATTATCTCCTCCAGTGGTTCCACAGTCGTCCCCAGAACAGAACCAGCCTTTTTTATTAGGCTGTTGAGCCTTTTCAGGTTCCTGCTTCTGATGCTGCTACCCCAACAGACGATAGCTGGAGAGATTACACTCTCAACAACAGACTTGTAGAAGATCTGCAGCATCTTGCTACAGACATTGAAGGACCGAAGCTTCCTCAAGAAGTGCAGTCTGCTGTGTCCCTTCTTGTAAACGGCTTCACTGTTCTTCCTCCAGTCCAGTCTGTTGTCCAGGTGAACTCCAAGGTATTTGTATTCCTCAACCACCTCCACTTCTTCTCCCATGATGGAAACAGTGTTTGACTCCACTAGGGCTGCAGCTATCTAATATTTTAGTAATCGAGTACTCTATCGAATATCCGGATCGAGTAATCGAATAAAACATACTTTTGCTAAATTAAGGTTCAATTATAAATATACAATATAAAATAGACAGACTTAATAATGAGAACAACAAATTTAAATGTTATGTATAAATGATATTTTATTAGTAATTGTTTCTTTAGAAAAATCAGAACTAAAATTACTTCCACCTTAACATTTGAGATGAAAACACAAATATAGATAATATTACTTTAAACTTAACTTTCCCTGAGACAGTTACATAAAAAAATAAAAATATTCTTTGAATAACAAAAAAGCAGTTATCACTCTTAGTATCAAAAAGAATGTGCAATAAATTGTGCCATCAACAGTGCCCTTCAAATGTGCAACTTTATATTCAGAACTAACATGTAAGACAGTAACTTGGCCCACAAGTCCTACTACTGTAAACAAGGATTTTAAACCGTCCTCAAGAGACTGTCTGGGGAGTGGAAGTACAATCTATCCAAGGAGCCTGTGGTTGCAGTGAAGGAAGGTGAGCATATCTACATGCTCAGGGCTGAGGCTTGCCCTCTTCTTTGACACAATATTACCTGCTGCTGAAAACAACCGCTCAGATGGGGTGGATGTAGCTGGAATGCAGAGCAGGGAGTTTGCCAGCTTCGCCAATGTTGGAAAGCGTTGTTCATTAGCTTTCCACCAGATCAGAGGATCATCCTTCTTTGGAAGGGACTGTTCTCCGAAATAGACCTGTGACTGTTGGGGGGGGAAAAAGAACAAACAAACAAAATCTAAAAATGTGTTTGGCTTATTCAACATTATGAAGTATTCATTTTCTGTTCTAGTAGAACATTTGAACTGCCTTATAGGAAATTGTTACCAAAATAAAAGGGGCAAAAAAACAAAGCATTTTTTATGTTTACCTCATTCTGTATAGCTTCATTTGACAGCTGTTCATCTTGCTCTTCATCACTGCTGGTGGAGTCCGAGTCAAGGAAGGATGTGGTCATCTTGTCTTTATGTGCTGTAGATGGAGCACCCTCTGCTGTGCTGGATGCTTCATTTCCGCATCTAGTAGGCCTCAGTTGCTGCTTGACAGCAAGTGCCATGGTTTGCAATGCGTTTTTGACTCCAAATGCTTGGTCAGCAGGCAAGAATTTGAGTTTTCGAAACCTGGGATCCAGAGAAGCAGCAAGCAGTGTGATGTTTGGAGACTCAGGTTTGAACTCACCCAAGTCTTTCCATCTTGTTGTGACCTGTTCTTTTGCATGAGTCTGGAATGACACCACAGGTGGTGACTCGAGATTCTGACTCTGGAGTGACTTCTTAATTTTGTCAACAACATGTGGAAGTGCAGAAAGCGTAACATATTGCTCTCCACTCATAAAAACTGTGGCAGAGTGGAAGGGCTCAAGGACCTGGTAGAGCTCCTCAATCAGGCTCCACTGGTCATGTTTGAGATCCAGGTATTGTTTCCCTCTTTGGGTCACTTCTGGGTCAGACAATGTAGCAGCCACTGGCCATCTTTGTTCTTGCAGCCTTGACAACATGGCATAGGTGCTGTTCCAGCGTGTGCAGACATCCTGCAACAGCATGTTTTCTTTGGTCCCCATATGCCTCTGCTTGACCTTTAACTTTGTGCTTGCCAATTCACTTTTCTTAAAATGTTCGACAAGAGTTCTTGCTGCACCCACACACCTGGAGATAGCCTGTTGGCTTTTTAAAGTGTTTTGCACAACCAAGTTGAGGGTGTGTCCTGCACATGTCAGTGCTCCCATCCATGCTTTGCATGCAAAATCTGTGTTGCAGCTACAACATTGGCACCATTGTCATGTACAACAGCCTTGATTTTCTCTGGTGGAATGCTGAATTTGGCAATTACCTCCTCAATCCAATCTGCAATGTTTGCAGCTGTGTGCCTCTCCTCCAAAGGCAATGAGACATAATTTTCCAGTTTTCTAGGTAGTGGCATGTTACCCCCATGTATGCCTCTGTTGCCACACTTGTCCAGATATCAGTAGTAAGTGCTATGGTGTCAGTCTCTTGCAGGGCTTTCTTCATCTTGTTTTTGATGTCTTCATATTTTTCTTCCAACCGCTTTGTGAAGAAGGTCCGAGATAGAAGAGCATAATTTGGCTGGAAAGCAGCAATCATCGCTTTGAAGTCAGCATCCTCCACCATGCTCAGCGGGCGCATGTCTGTAACCAACATATTTAGAATGTGGTCTGTCAGTACGGCTGCTTGTGCTGGGGTGCAGGCAGGTGCTTTCAGCAGAAATCTATCCAGGACAGGTTGTGATGTTTTACTGAAAAAAAGGCAAAAAATAAATAAAGTGAAGTAAAACATTCCTAAATTGCAATTAGAGTTTGGTACATTTCCATGGAAGGCTATGCTGGGGAATTTTGGAAATATTTAAAATTAGAAACTGTGCACAAGAAATAGGGGAATTCATGAAAATTAACTGGAATTTGGGGATAATTTTAACAAACTATCATTCAAACAAAGGTTTTTTTTTGTTGTAAACCAAATTTTAAAATATACTTTTTAACAGATGTATTTTAAAGCAGCACTTTAAAACTAACTTATAACAAATAAATGTATGTTATTGACACTACATTTGAGTCAGCATTTACGTCCTGAAATAAAAGTTTATTTACCTGGTCTCGGCACGTCCACTCATGCCCTCAGTCGGATGCTTTCTTAAGAGGTGCTGCAGCATGGAAGAAGTGCTGTTGTGGTATGCTAGCTCCACCTTGCAATGCTTGCATACAACATTTTCCTTGCTTTTTAACGTGAAGTGATCCCACACCTTGGATAACTTCTGTCGCTTCCTATTTCCCTTGTTTTGGTCTTGCTTGTTTTCATTTATTTCCGTGGCGTCTGCCATTGTCGGCTGTCCAGCTGAAAAGACGAAAAAACCGCTGCGCCTGCGCGCTGTGCAGTAGAGTGCATGGCACGTATAATCTGTGACGTAACCGCGTTGTGCAACACAATGAATCCGTGCGAAACGCCGTTTTTTTTCAGCTATGGTCTATTTAACGAGTCCTCGAGGCAGCGGAAAATCCTCGAATATTTTTTGTCCTCGAATCATTCGAGTTACTCGAGGATTCGTTGCAGCCCTAGACTCCACCCTGTTTCTTCTGAAGTCTAAAATCATCTCCTTTGTTTTGTTTACGTTCAAGGTCAGATGATTGTTTCCACACCATGCCACAAAGCGCTCCACCAGCTCTCTGTACTCGGCTTCCTGTCCATCTCTTGATACACCCGACAACTGCAGAGTCATCGGAGTATTTCTGTAGATGACAGGTCTCTTATTTGTACTGGAAGTCTGAGGTGTACAGGGTGAAAAGGAATAGTGAGAGTACAGTCCCCTGTGGTGCTCCAATGTTACTGATCGCCTGGCTTGATGTGCAGTTCTTGAGCCTCACAAACTGTGGTCTGTTTGTCAGGTAGTCTTTAATCCAGGCGATAGCTGAAGCCCTCACCTGTGTCTTCTGGTGTTTCTGGCAAAGTACATCAGGCTGGATTGTGTTAAATGCACTGGAGAAATCAAAGAACATGACCCTGACGGTGCTGCCTGCTTTGTCCAGATGAAAGTGGGTTGGTTGAAGCAGCTGGATGATGGCATCTTCAACTCCAACTCCATGGCGATAAGCAAACTGCAGCGGGTCCTGATATGTCCTAGTTTGCTTATTTAGGTGGACCAACAGGAGTCTCTCCAGGACCTTCATGATGCGGGATGTGAGGGCAACCGGTCTGTAGTCGTCATTGACTGATGGGCGAGTTTTCTTTGGAACTGGAACAAGGCAGGATGTCTTCCATAGGACTGGACCCTTCTCCTGGGCCGAGGTTGAAGAGGTGCTGTAGAATCCCACAGAGCTGCTCTGCACAGGCCTTCAGTACTCTGGGGCTGACACCATCTGGACCTGCAGCCTTGTTCCTGTTCATTCTCTCCAGCTGTCTCTTCACCTGACTTCTTGAGACAGATAGGTGGGAGGGGGGAGGTAAATGGGGCAGCAGCATCTCCTGACTTTGTTGAAGACAGATTTATAGAACCAGTAGAGTCCATGACTGCGTTGAAGGACAAAAGAGCTGGCGTGTGACAGGAAAATGTTGGATCAGAGGAGGATGGGATGTCTGATTGGCTGGGGACAGGCGAGGAGGATGCTGGGTTTGTTCCTGAACTGAACCTATTGAAGAACTTGTTCAGTTCATTGGCTGTGTCCAGGCTGCCATCTGTGCAATCCTTCCTCTGCTTGAAGCCTGTGATCTTCTTCATCCCTGACCAGACATCTCTGATATTGTTCCTCTGTAGTTTGTTCTCCAGCTTCTTCCTGTATGCCTCCTTGCTGTCTCTGATCTTGATCTTCAGTTGCTTCTGTATACTCCTCAATAATTCCCTGTCTCCCTCCTTGAAGGCTTTTTTCTCATTTAGCAGAATCTTCAGTTCACCGGTGATCCAGGGTTTGTTATTAGTGAAGCATCTCACTGTTCTGGTGGGTGATGTTGTCCACACAGAAGTTTATATAGTCAGTGACACATCCAGTCATGTCATTGATGCCCTCTTCATATCCTTGGCAATGTCAGCAGCAACAGATTACTGAGCTGTTAAAATCCATTTCTGGGCTTCAAAGTTGGCTAATTGCTGAGTATACTCTGCGCTAAGAGAAGTGTTTGTCCGAGCCAGAGGAGGTCACGCTGCAGACGCTGATGCTAGTAGCATGGATGCTAATGACTGTAAACATTCTGCTTGAAGCATCAACATGTTCCATCGTTGTTGAAACTCCTTCCTTCTGCATCAATCTTTCTAGTCCTGGACATGTTGGGATGATGTGTGGACAGTTCACTTGTTTGTCCGGAACTGCGCTGCTCTGGGTGGCTGCATGTTGGAGTAGCTCGGTTGACTATAAAGTTTTGCCTTTTCTTGGGCATTTTTTCTTCTAGTTTCTCAAGAAAAACTGTATTTTTTTGTACATTTTACTTTTCTGTTTCTGGTGCTGTGAAGCTTGGAGGATTTTTACTATTATTTTTTAGCCTTTTTCACCTTTTGAGCATTTGTTATGATGCATAACCATGGCAACAGTCTGGTTTACAATCGGGAGCAGCTGATTAGCATTGGAAAGGCTGAAATAATACCTCAACTGAAGCCACAAATCCCAAATGAGCTAAAACGCAAGAAGCGTGGATGCAGAGCGGGAGCAAAACGGAGACAGAGAGAGGAAATTCAAACCATCTCTTCCATAGATCATAATGGGCAATGTGAGATCACTGGCCAACAAGATGGAGGAACTCCAAGCCCTTTCAAGGACTCAGCCAGAGTTTCGGCAGTTTCGGAACCACTGGAGGAGATAATGCAAAGAAGGATTCTCCAGAGAATCAAGAAAATTTTGGACAACCATGAGCATTCTCTTCACAAGACTGTCCGACAACGGAAGAGTGTCTTCAGTCAGAGGCTTGTTCAGGTTCGCTGCAACACTGACCGCTACTGGAGATCCTTCCTGCCAACAGCCATTGTAATATACAACAACTCTTTGACGACTTGATTATTATTATTATTCTGAGCTACTACAGCAATCAGTTTCCCTCTGGGATTATTAAAGTATTTTTGAATTGAATTGAATTAATTACACATGGAAGTCAGGGGTGGACCTTTAAAGCGCCCAAGCGCCAATGGCGCTAAATTTTCTCGTCGGGCGGTAAATACTTGACGACTTACCGCCCGGGTGGCGCCCAAGCCTTATTTGTCATTTACACACCGGCTTTCACCTACATCATGGCCCCGCCCTGTAGGAAGCTGCCGTTTTCGTTTCGCGCGCGTGAACCTGCGCGCCTCTAGCCACGTACTGCACTTGTACAATTCGTGCATGTACTGCACATTCTAGTTATAGTCATGTGAACTATAAGTTCACTATTAAAGACGAAGTGGAACCACGCTAGAAACACACAAGCACGCAGGGAGATCGCGCCACCACAGGGATGGGGTTTCTTGATGAAATCTCCGGCAAAACGCTTTAAAACTGGTGAGGAGAAGCGAGACAGTTCGAAACTGTATGAAGCAGAGAAGCGTGTGCGTAGGTGGAATGATTCTTGGCGGTTTAAAGTAGACGGGAGGCGCAGAGAATGGCCGTGTTCGAGTTGAGCAGCGCATCGCCTGGAAAACAGACGAGAGCAGACGGAAGCAGCGGGGGAGGGGCTGAAAGCCGGCGTTTCGCCCGGGACACACCGGCCGCGGAAGCGCCCGAAGCGAAATCCGGCCGCTGTTCGCCGCTCCTCAGTTAAGATCAGACGCGCCCCAGTCGAGGCGCGCCTCGGCTCAGCTGTAGTTTTTCTTTTAACTACTTGTCTTCCATTTCCTCTCTATCTTTTCTCAGCTCTTTTCATCTACGTGTGAGTGAGTGAGTGAGTGAGTGACACTATGGTGTGAACCAGTTGTTTCTGCCAGTTGAATCTCTTGGATTTCCCTGCATGTGTAGCTCGAAGGTGACGGTGGCTGAAGATATCGCGTTAGCATTCACACTTGTTCAATTTTCAATTTTAATTGTGGTGCCTGTTAGCAGCTGAAACACATCCTCATGTGCTTGTGGATATCATATATTGTATATGAAAACATGACTGTAATAATAAGTAAAGGTTAGCAGCTGTAGCTTCAGCGTGCTCATAGGAAGCGTGACAAAAGAAAACAAAACACATTTCTCTTTATGGCCTATATTGTCATCATCAACATAACATGATTTACAGAATACATGTGAACAACTAACATTTCATGTTCTACCACCGGATGTTTGGATCAAAATATGAACCAATCAGATCTTAGATCAGGTGAGAGCCAGGCGTTTCCCGTCATCCTCCAGGTTTTGCAGCCGAGGGAGAGCAACTGCAGCACCTTGCTCCAAAATCTGCGGCCGCCTTGATCTCAAGAGGTTATCGTTGCCTACGTATGCATGACGTCAGAGCAAGTCGGCGTCAAGTCGGACAGAAATCTAAATGGCATGCACTGCTCGCCGATCACCGCTGGTCTAATCTGCGCAGAACTGGCTCATCTCGAACACAGCCAATGGCTCGAGTACAGCAAAGCGGAGTTGGTGATGTACTGCGTTGTATGCTGGAAGTATGCAACGACAAAATCGTGTTTTGTTGAGGGAACAAACAAATTCAAACTTGAATACGTTATTATGTTTGTGAATGTGTACAAAATAAAGGTTTATTACATTTAAAACGGTTCAGTTGTTATTTTGACTCGTTTTGGCAGCTGACCAGCGGGGCCGGTAGATTCTTGGCAGGGTCGGTAAATATTCAGAGTTACCGGCCCGGCTGGCCGGTTGGTTTTGAAGTTAATTTCCACCCCTGGAAGTGGATACACTGCGACCTAGTGGTGAGTCACTGCACTAGGAACATAATCGCTGTGCTTTATGGGAAATGTAGTTTATAGTCAATGTATGCTTTGAAGCAGCATAGTTTTATTTAAGACACTTGAATCTCTCGCGGGCCTTGTGTCTGACACGTGTACTGTAAGGCAACAAAACTTCACCCTCCACAGTATCCCGGTCTTGATGAGAGAGCATCCTGGTAAGTTAGATGATATGTTCTTTTAAAACATCCTTTTAGTTAAATCCAGAGTGCACTCACACATTGGTAGGCTAATGCGGCACACTGACACTTACTAGAAAAACCAGCAAATGAAAGGTTTACCTAGGGCTGCTCAATTAATCGAATTTTAATCACGATTACGATCTGAGTTTTGAACGATTATAAAAAACAAAACAAGCCGATTATTTGCTCCTCCCGCTTGCGCTGCCCTGAGTTGCAAATGAAGCGCTCCTCCACAGTGTTGCCAACTTAGCGACTTTGACGCTATTTCTAACAGCTTTTCAGACCCCCTTCTTGACTTTTTAATCCTAAAAGTACCTAGCGAACACCTCAGAAACATCTCTGGTAACCCTTAGCTACTTTCTGGATAACTATCGTCGACGTTTCCTGCAGGTTAGCTAAACACTCCGCCTGCACTCCGGACCGTTCTTCAGGACATTAGGAAAGGGAATGATGTAGTGACGTGTCGGTCGCTAAAGACAGCTCTCGGAGCCGCCCTGCTCCCTGTTGGAGTAACCAGAGTGAGTGACACACACACCGCACCTGCGGACTCCTGAGCCGCTAAAAACAGCTAAATGTGCGCGTGCGGCGCGCTAAACACACGTGCAGCTTGCCCCTGATTGCTGTGAGACCGGGTTGGGGGGTGGGGGGTGCAGCTGTGGTTGGGACAATTATTACATTAACTGATGGACTTGTAAATAAATAGTTTATAAATAAGGTAGAAATAACTTCCTCACGCTGATAAATAATAACTAATCTCTCTGAGGACACGGTGCTAGTGCACTCTCCTACAGCACCTTGACACAACTCAATAAATGTTATGCAACATTTTGTGAACATCAATTTATTTGCATTTATTTGTTATAAATGCCACTGTATAATTCTTGCTGTCAGTATTTGCAAGATATTGGTATTTGGTTCTGTACTGGTTAGACTTAAATGAGTTAAACCAAGGTCTACAGCCCTTGGGTCATAGACTATGAGCTATAAGTATATTGGTCTTTTATACAGGGAATCAGGAGTTCTTTTAGTGATCATCTTGTTTCTTATTTTTGTCCTGATTGTGCCCTGAGCAATTTTATGACTGAATAAAAACAAATAAAATCAACATAAATTGAAAAATCGTCCTAAATAATCGTGATCTCAATTTCAGTCACCATAATCGTGATTATTATTTTTGCCATAATCGAGCAGCCCTAGGTTTACCTCTCATCCAGTTGTTTACATCTGCTCACACCACAAACAAGATAGCTGAAAATGTCCGTCATGCAGAGCTGCAGCAGCAGTTACCATCAGTGCTCCAGTCTTGGGTCTTTCACATAGACCCAAACCATTTATAATCATTTTGTCCACACGCGTATCCCTGTACATTCTGCTTCCTTTTCGTGATTTTGTTTATGTTTATGTATTTAGCAGACGCTTTCGTCCAAAGCGACTTACAAGTGATAATTGGCATGTTGCCCTTGAGGCTAACAACAACAACAACAATAACAACAACTTGACATCAATCATGGAGAGGAAGGGACAAGGAGTGGACAGTAGAGAGGGGGACGGGTGCAGGGAAGGTGCTAGCTCTCTGAAGAGCAGGGTCTTCAGGAGTTTCTTGAAAATTGAAAAGGAAGCCGCAGTTCTGGTAGTGCTTGGAAGGTCATTCCACATTTGTGGAACGATGCATGAGAAGAGTCTGGATTGTCCTGAGCCTGGTGTAGGCACTGCTAGCCGACGATCCTGTGATGAGCGGCCTGGCCGAGACGTAAGCCTTTGCAAGAGGATTCAGGTAGATGGGAGCCGTACCATCTCGGACTTTGTATGCTAGTGTTGGCAATTTGAATGTGATGCGTGATGCTAGCGGTAGCCAGTGGAGCTCAATGAACAGAGGGGTGATGTGTGCTCTTTTTGGCTGATTGAAGACCACACACGCCGCATGTTTAACACTTGTTCTCCCACATCATCTTCTCTGCGATCTGTTTTTTTCCACGGTTTCCACTCCTGAGGCAACCAACATGTCCGCCACGTCCCAGAATGCAACCCGTAATCAGGTGTGATCATAAGCCTTATAGCATTTCTAGAATGGTGGAATTTTGTCTCCAGCAGCTTGTTGATTTTCTAATTTTAATCACTAGCCACGTTTACATGCACACATTTAATCGGATTGAACGCCCAATGAGATCAAAAATTCTGCACATAAACACGTCAATCGGAAAGTTCTGATCCAATTCGGCCTGATCGGTATGAAATTTCAATCCGATAGAGAGGTAGTTTGTCCGATCCTCATTCCGGTTGACGTGCATGTACACAGCCATTCAGATTGTTGGAGTAAAGTAACACCCACTGTGCCTGTGCAACACCCAACAAGCCTCCCCGCCATCATTTGGACAACCTGACTTAAAAAATGACGGCCTAGTTAACAAGCGCCAGCTTTTTAATTTGATGGCAAGCCGTCCCGTTTCTGTAATATCTAATCCAGAAGACAGAACTTGCATTTTGTGGAAGTGATATAAAAATCAGTAATCGGTAATGAGTCTGAATACCCCCCCCCCCCCCCCCCGCAAGAGGCAAAGGCATATTGTTAAAAATAAAACACAGCAAAGCATACAGCTGCAATTATTCATGGAGGAAAACGTAACTTCTATGAGCAAAATAAAGACATTAAATTGATTAAATGAATCAGAAAAACAAGATGATTTGTTTTTTTCTGATTTTACATTTTTCATTTTGTTTCATGACGTTTACAATTTTTTTTTCCGGGAAAGAAAACTCTGAGCATGCTCAACCTATTTAATCTGAATAATTATTGCATATAAACTCATGGCATGATTGGATCATTACTGCTAGTGTGCATTTGAACAGATTCGGGATTTCCGATCAACCGGGATTTGAATCGGATTGGGGAAACTTGGCGCATATAAACGTGGCTACTGAGGCCTGTCTTTGAGCAGTAAAAAAATAATTTTGGGTTTTCAAAATAAAGAAAAATCTAACTTTTGTGGCCCACGATGACTTAAATGTGAAGTGTACTTTCTTGGAGGAAAGTCATCTAGCCCACTACATTTGGGAAAAATAAAAATGTTCAAAGGTCCGACCCCTTTCTTCATTGAGCCAGTAAATGATGAGATTTTGAAGCCTAATATTCCTTTTTTGCAGTTTTAAAGATGTTTTTTCACACCTGACTTAAAAGAAGAAATACTAATTTATAACAGGCAAAATGAAACTATTTAATGCATTTTGAAGTCTGTTCCTTAGTAAGTCTTAAATATTCGTCTATAAAGCCTCTGTTTAGAGAAATGGCTCTCAGAGTGGATGAGCTAATGGCTAGTCTGAATGCTAGCATTCTAAAAAAAAGTAAATTAGAACCTTTCACACAGTTTTATAAATCTTACAGCCTAGGGCACATCGGAGACATTTTAAATAGAAGCCAGTATAGTTGATGAGTGGAAACACAAGGAGCGCCGCGTCCCAGAAGCGCGGCACCGAAAATGGGCGCCGTGGCTGTTTACGACATTGTGGGGTACTTTACAACAGACATTACGACGCGGAACGGCTTTACGGCACAAACCCAGCTGCAGCTTTGATAACTTCAAAGTACTATTGATCTTAAATTCTAATAAATTGCATGCTTATTTATTTTTATTGAATTAGTCTAACAAAACACGACGGCAAGTCTGATCACGTATGAGCAATAGTCAAATCCCGCTTCCTTTTCCCAAGTCCCGCATGATGTTGTAACTATCGCGCCTGTCTATCTCCGGTGTGCCCCAGGATTTACACTGCAGTCACTGATTGGTGCATAAATACAACATTTCTGCTGAGTCCCTGGATGCACCAAAAGTGCTTAGTTGTTGAAGAGAGGATTAGGAATATTTCTCCAAACAAAGGCTGTTCAGGTGACCGTCTCCAGCAGGTTGCCAGTTACTGCGGGCTTTTTCTTTCCTTTCTGTGTTTATTTGTAATAAAAATGACTTGTTCTGTTCTTTTTCAGTTGACTTCTCCGACTGCACGCTGCGAACCAGGTTCCTTTTCACCACTGATGACAATCGTTTTGTTGTGCACTCAGATGGAACGTTAGCTGTGAGTGAAGCACTTCTGTTCAGGTTTTTATTTAAAGAGACGATGTGTAGTTTTTACCATTACTTTCTGGAAATATCCAACAAAATGTTGTTAAATGAATGCAAAGATGCCCATTTGTTGAAAAATATTGGCGGCTTTTGTAACATGTAACCATACAAATCAGGTCTAAAATACATGGGAGCCCATGTGGACAAAAAGCATTTACTGATTTGTAACAGATGGTTACAAAACTTTGGTCGTACGTGTTTTACACATTCACCTCTTCACTTGTTGCCACTGATGAAAGGGCGTCTGATGTGCTTATTTTGCTAAAGCTTGATCTCCCCAGGGCTTTTTGACCCTGATGGGCATCCACTGATGTCTGCTTGCTTGCAATGATTATGGTATCTACTGCCCCCTATCGCCAGGAAAAATACACATGGTCACTTTAGTGTTCATCTCAGACCTGTTGAATGTTCTGGTGTTTTGGGTCAGTTCTGTTACAGAAATGTGGACCAGGGCTTTGGTGGACGATTAAACCATAATTCTGTCACACTGGTTGTAGAAAATATGAAGATATTTGAGATACTTTGGTGAAAATATGAATTCAGACATTTCATTTAACTGCGGCTCCCATCATTATTGTGGATGATGCATATTTTCTGTTAGTAACAGTGTTCTTTTGGACTATTGAAGAAAAAGATGTTAACAGTTTGGAATTTAATGAAAAATTTAAATTAGCTTCATAAACAAACCATTTAAGACATTCTAAACCCTTTTTGTGTTAGACATCTGGCATATTCAAGCTTTCTAAGTGTTGTTGAGTCCAGGCTTGTTGCTGAAGTCTGGCCTTCTCCTGCAGGTAAAGAGACCGGTTCTTCTTCACGAGGGACAATGGGACTTTTTTGTCCACTCCTGGGACTCGCAAGGCAAGAAAATGACTGTTCCTGTCCAGCTGCTGCGTCAGGGGCATCACCATGGAAACATGCAGAATGTGGAGCATCACCATGGGGCCCAGAACCAGAACTGTACAGAAGAAGGCTCGGAGGCAAACCCAGAAGGCTCGGAGGCAAACCCAGAGGTATCCTTAGAAGACCAGATGGGTCATAAGTTTCCTCTGATAAACGAGCTTTCAGATAGTTTCTGTTGAATTTCTTCTGTCCTTTTGTACAGATGAGGTTACTGTTAAGACACCGCCACCCTGTGGCCATATTTAGAACAACATCCTTTTGTCATTGTTTCCCATTACATTTATCATCCCCCCCCCCCCCCCCCCCCCTTTTTTTTTTAAACACAAACAAGATGAAACGGATTATTTTAGGGGATGTTTTGAAGAGTTGAGCAATTCTCTCGGTTCTCTTGATCCTCATGGCTGTTTTTACTGTCGGAAAGCAAACATCCTCGTGTCAGATTACCAAAACTAAAATCTTTCTCCCTCTAAAGCCTCACTTCTGTGTCTTGACACCTGCTGGTCTCTGTATGGTCATGTCAGTTATTTTAGCAGATTTATATTGGCTACCTGTTTTTGTTTCTGTTACTAACTTCTGAAGCTTTAGCAAGTTTAATAACCATTTCCTAGAACCTGGGCCCTCATTCATCAAACGTCTGTAGAAATATTCCTAAATTCCTTCCTATTAACAAAATTTAGAATGTTCATGCGAACGGTCAAAATCCTGATTTATGACGCACGCGGTGGCCTCTTGTACACACATTCCTCCACACTCCACTGATAATAAATCCCTCCTGTGCGTACCCAGGTGCTCGTGTCCGCTCTGTCATTTACATACAGAAACACCCTCAATTACCCATATTTGGTCACGCTAGGTCTTCGGTACATGAGGAGATTCCTTGGTTTCTACCCAGAAAAAGAAAACATGCAAGACACTTTCTGCCCAAGTGCCCAACCAGAGATTATAAACACGGTCGGGACAGAGGAGAGGTTCCTGTCGGGAATAAATAAAAACTTTAATCTGATCAATCGTAGAGTAACTGGTTGTTGTCTTCACATAAGGACTGGCTGGCCCTCTCCCTAGCCACTCCTGCTACCCCCTGTTGATTTAGGACTTGCCTCCTCCTTTTACCTCCAGGCTCAACCATGATGCTAAGTAAAAGCAAAAATCTTTTTTCTTATGCTATTTATTGATGGTCGGCTAAGTGATAGAGTAAAATGTTATCAGGAGAGGGAGAATGGTTAAGTGGTTAGCAGCAGTGTGCTAGACGATGGCCCCCTCCATGAGGCCACCACAGCTCAGCAGAACATCGTTGTAGCTTCTTCTGGGGAGAAAAACACTTAGAGAAAAAATAAAGTTAACAGCTGAAAAAGCAGAAAATAATACAGTTAAAGAGCAGATTGTAGAAGAAAGTAGTCGAGTGTGGAAAGTGGTCAGTGTATCCTCCAGCACTCTAAGCCTATAGCAGCATAACTACAAAGATAACTCTGGATAACCTAGCCTTTTAGATGGGGGCATATTGGAGTCAGGGCAAGGGAGAGCCGTCTTTACCGACTGTACACTCCACCTCCCTCTACTCCCCCACTTGTCCAGATCTCGGCTAACATCAGATTTTAACCATAGGCCCTATCAAATAAAAATGTTTTAAGCCTATTCTTAAAAGTAGACAAGGTGTCTGCCTCATGGACTAAAGCTGGGAGCTGGTTTCACAAGAGAGGAGCCTGATTGGCTAAAAGATCTGCCTCCCATCCTATTTATAAAATGAATATTGATGTGGTGGAACTTGTTAAAATTAACGCTAAGCCATTGTTATTCCACCTGAAAATCTCTGGATGAATTTAAAGGTCATGTTTGCTGTATTTTTTTTAAAGGTTTATAAGTGAACTTGATTTCTGCTCAGTACAAGGCAGAAAAATCTAATGCTCCATTTGTATTTGTTTTTCATTGATGCATTTTATTTTGTAGAGTACAGCTGATCCTCAGGTGCCCATCCTGACGTTCCCAAAGTCTAGTAAAGGACTAGGTAGGATTAAGCGAGGCTGGGTCATCCCCCCCATCAATGTTCCTGAGAATTACAGAGGAAAGTTTCCCCAACAACTTGTCCAGGTAAGGGAAAGATGAAAGGTGTGATGCTTCATTTTACATTTTTTATTTTGCATCTGAGCCTTTTGTTCTTGGTGCTTTCTGCTCTGTTATCGTATAAAGTTTTGCTTTTTAAGTGTGTTTGGATGGTAAGGACAGGACACTCAGACTCGTTGTTTTCCTTTCTGCTCATAAAACAAAACAAACTTAAAGCATCATGTTTTTGTCCTTCAGACTGTAAGCAACCCTTTAGCTGTTCATTAATAAAACGAGGAGTACTTTACTCTGGTAACATTTTTGATGACAATAACAATAATCTGAATTTTTTCATACCACTTTATTTCTAGTTGCATCATACAATAGCTCTGTTAATAAATAAATTTATTGTTAATTTTCAGTAATAAAATTTCCTTAAATTTTTTTACTGTCACATCTAACTCTGAAAATCCTTTAAATTATTGATCAAAAAATTTACAATCAACTTTCTACAGATTACCTAGTAGATATTTTTTGTATTAATTTGGTTTGTTTTAATCCTGTTTTTGTCCAGATTCGCTCTGATTTGGATAAAACCAAGAAGATCTATTACAGTGTCGCTGGTCCAGGAGCTACCGAGCCTCCTATTAATCTCTTCACCATGGACAGGGACACGGGGTTCCTGTACGCCACGCAAGCACTCGACAGAGAAAAACAAGCTAATTACGTAGTAGGTTTAAGGAAATTTTTATACAATTCTGGTATTTTTTTATATATAAAAATATAATTCTGAATCAGATTTTCTTCAGAAAAATTATTTTAGTTGTCTGAAAATGTGACTAAAGTCTTGTTTTAATGTTTAAATTAAAATTCTCTTTCCGTGTACAGCTCGTAGCACATGCCAATGTAGCTGGAGGAACAGGAACGGCAGAGGATCCAATGGAGATTATAGTTAATGTAATTGACCAGAATGACAACAAACCTATTTTTACTCAGTCCACCTACACTGCATCCGTTGCTGAGGCCTCGCCCATCAGTAAGTCTGTAGCATCTGAGAAATTAGATTTTTTTATTTTATGTCACAGAAACGCATCAGATTTATATCACTATCTCACTTAACATTCATGGACTCAGCAGAAGAGCTATTTTTCCCTCTGATTGTCTCACAAAGCATTTATTTATACTACAGACCAGTGCTGATGTGTTAAAATAACAAGTAAACTTGCTCTTTAAAACTTTTCAACTCTTAAAATGAAACACTTCTATTGACTATCGGAGTCCAAGAAGTTTGTCTCATCTCTTAGTCAGCAACAACTTCAGTAAAGGTTCTGCTTTAAACAATGATCTCCATTTTGTTTCCTTTCTCCAGATTTTGACATCGTTCAGGTCGAAGCCACAGATGCTGATGATCCAAACACTGACAACGCTGATATCCGCTACCGCATCACGAGCCAGGTTCCAGAGGTACCCTACGTTGACATGTTTACCATCAACCCAACAACAGGAGCTATCAGAGTCAATCGTCCAAATCTGGACAGAGAGGTGAGACTTGATAAAACATCTCTAAGAGAAGTTTAGGATTTTTAATTTTATGTAATGGTTACATTTGCAAACAGGACCAGCGATTGAAGTTTTTAGAAGGGAAACATTGAGTTAATATAGGGGTCTGCAACCTGTGGGTCTGGAGCCATGTGCGGCCCTTCAGCCACTGTTGTGTTGGCCAAGAGTGACCTGACCCTGAGTGTTTTATATTTATACTTGGAAAGAGGAATGTTAGCAGTTCTAGTATCTGCTTAGAGCACGTGTCAGACACAAGGCCCGCAGAGCGTTTTTATGTGGCCCACAAGATAAGTATCAAAAATACATTAAAACTGACCCGCTGGCCGATTTTACCACAAAGACTACTACTCCCATGATGCTTTGCGGCGTTAGCGCGGAGCCGAAGCGCCCCCTCCTGTGTTTTTTCCAGCGTCTTGTAATGAGTTAATTTACATGTTATTTAATGAGCCATAAGACATAAGATTACATAATAAATATGAAATCAACCTTATGGATCTGTGAGTACTGTTTAACCAGAAGATTGGAACTTTTTATTGCAGAGATTATGTAACCACTTCGTATTCACTCTGAGACAACAGAAGAGAGTCAAGTTTTAAAAGTTTAAAGATTTATTACTAAACAAATTAGACTCACTTAAACACTAAATGTATGGTGTAACTAAGGTGAAATGAGACAGAGAATGGTGTAGTGTGGAATGTTCAGAACCAGCAAATCTGAAGAAACTATTAGTTCTGGTGGGAAATGAAGGTGATGTCTTCACGCTAAACTTTGTTTAGGAGATTCATAAACACATTCGACGCCATTTGTCGGTCCACATACCCTTAGTGGAAGTCCCCGTCTAGATCAGGAGGTGTAGAGGTTAGGGTTGTCACGGTATGAAAATTTAACTTCACGGTTATTGTGACCAAAATTATCACGGTTTTCGGTATTATCGCGGTATTTTTTAAACTGTGTTGCATATGTTCAGAAAGCATTGATAGTCCTGTTCTACACAAACTGAAATAGTTCTGAAAAGGTTTAACAGTGTTTATTAAACCTAAAATAACACAAAGCCTTAGCAAAAGTGCAACTTTTCACAAGTAAAGGAACAAATTTTTCTGGAACATGTTACAGTAGTCAGTGCAGGTTTAAATTTTACAAATCCAAACATTCGAAACATAAACAATATGTAAACAAATCAAAGAAACACCACTTGTTTTCTCATATACTTGTTTTCTTCATTATCAAAATGAAAATCTAAAACTCCAGTCCACACTTGACTTGAGCACTGTACAAGTCAACCTTAAAAAATATGTATTTAAAATAAATAGCCACTTTAAACAAATTACTAAAATAACTACTACACTATGTAATCAAATCCAAACGTTCAAGTATAAATGGCATTGAATAAGTAAACAAATCAATGACAAGGAACTAATTGTATATTTCTCTTCATCATCAACAAATAAGATGCTTCATCCAGCAACAGGGTGTCCGTGACACGGTTTAAATGCTGGCAGAGGACGCTGCGGCTGCAGTATATAGTGACTCGTTGTATTCTCCCTCAACCAAAAGTCCTCACGTCATGCATTTAAGCTAAAATGCTGATGTTAACTTACCTTGCACTGGCTGTAGAGACGTGGGTGATCGTCACACACATGTGCCATTAGATTCGAAGTGTTGCTGCCTTTTGCAGACACTTTTCCTGCACGTTCTGCAAACGGGATAGCAGTCTTCCATTAACTGTCCCTCAGCAATTTTCAGAAATCCAAAATATGCCCATACTTCCGATTTAGTCTTCTTTGAGGGCTGATGGATGTCCTGGGCGCTGCCGTCTCCTCCTTCGGCCATTATTTCAGCTTCAAAGTTTTGGTGCCGTTGCAAACTAAAAAGTGCGTGTGCGCGCCGCGGGAAATTCAGCTGAAGCGACGGTGGCTGGTAAGGGTCATCGCGCCGAAACCGCGGCCACGGTAAACCCACCGAGATAATATAGTTTTTTAAAAACTGGACGGTTATTTTTATTGTCAACTTTTTTACCGGGGTTTACCGCTATACCGGTTACCGTGACAACCCTAGTAGAGGTCCAGCTTGACCTTTGTGGAGCCGAAGCCTGTGGAAACAGCCGCGGCAGCCGACCACCAGTCTTGAGATTCTTCCGGGTCACAACAGTTTATCGGCATCTAACAAGACCCAAAACGGGGTCGTGATGGTTCAGCTTTTATTCTGAAAGGAACTGCTGCAGCAGTTGTTTACAGATTGTTTACAGCAACAGATTTTATCCAGCTTGTCGTTGGTTCTTTCGGCTGAAGATGAAAGTTACAGATTGGCCACACCGACAACTTCTCTAGATCGCTTTGAACTGGCTTTAAAGATGACGTGGGCATAGTTTTATTGTGCTATTTAAAAATAAGTTCTGAATGTGAAACGTTACTTGAATAGCAAAGTTTTTAGATGTGTTTTTATTTCAAGATTTCTCGATTTGTGATGCTTTTGGAAACGGGAGATAAGCCCCTGGACTAATGCTCCTCCTGGCTTGGGAAACTTGCTCTCAAATGCTTCCTTTTAGTTATTTAAGTAGCACACACACATTAGGAATGCCTTTGGTGGAATTCAAACAAACCATTTTAATCTAGATTATTCCAAGATTACAGTGAAATTAATCTAGATTAAAAATCTATGCCCACCGCTAGTGAAAATATTTGTTTAAAAATGCTAAAACAAGTGTTTAATGCCCTCCTGCATCATTTTCGTCATTTCTTATGAAAATTTAGGGATAAACTTTAGGTGCTGATGTAGCCTACCAAAGGCCAACTATTTGGTTAATTGTCCACTGTAAGGTCAGAGGCATCCGAGTTTACAGGAGATCCAAGACTTTTATGAAGCAGTCGTTAGTCTGTGACTTTTCTTATAAACTGAAGCGATGGTGTATTACTGCAGATTAACGTCACTTTTATCCAACAGAAATACCCTCAGTACACACTGATGGTACGAGCTGCAGACACACAGGGAGAAGGGTTGTTTACTGAGGCCAAAGTAATACTCAAGGTAACGGACAGCAACGACCTTCCTCCAGTCTTCACACAGTCCTCAGTAAGTACAACACATGTAGACCTACTCGTGCATCAGGATCATTTTCTGTAACTTACTAGTGTTGATTTTAACAGCTGACAGGAAGTTTAACTTTGTAAATGAACAGTTTTAGCGTAGCTTGAGCAGTCCAGTTTGTGCTGCTGCAGTCAAAACAATCAAACTACTACACGATGACCCTAAAGTGGAGCTAATCTAGAACCTTCTGAACTTTTCAGTATAAATCATCAGTTGAAGAGAATAAAGTGGATGCTGTGGTGGTTAGAATGTCGGTGACGGACGGAGACGATCCACACACTCAAGCCTGGAACGCCAAGTTCACGATTGTAGACGGAGATGCCGGAGGATTTTTTGCTGTGAAAACGGGAGCCAACAAACAGGAAGGAATTCTTTATACCGTTAAGGTAGGTGCAACAGAGTTCTCCGTAACAAAGTAAAGCTTCACTTAGAGCCAGAACTGCATCTGGTTTGTTGTGTAAAGGCGGAACTTGAAGGGGACACCCAGTGTTGGGTAACCCTGACTCCGACACCGCAGCACAGCCTCAGCAGTTTTTTGTTTTGGCCTCTGAGTCCTGCGGTGGAAACCTTCCATCAGCTGAATGAGCTCCTAGTGTCTTATCTGTTGTGTGGTGTCTCCTCCTCCTCCATTAAACCAGGGTCTGGACTATGAGATGACCAGCATATACACTCTGATGGTTTCAGTGGAGAACGAGGTTCCATTTGTTAATGATGTGCCCACCTCCACTGCAACAGTCACAGTCACGGTCCTCGACATCAACGAACCTCCGATATTCGATCCCACGGAGAAGCATGTGGCCAAACCTGAGAGCCTTCTTCCTGGCAGTGGGGTGACGGTGTACACGGCTTCAGACCCGGACACGGCGCGCAAACAGACGGTCATGTAAGAAATCTGATTAGAATTAACTTGTCTGTATTTAACCTGGTTTCAGCTCAAAACAGAGAGGTGTGTGTATGGTGAAGAGGATTTAAGGTTTGATGAAAACCTTTGTGAACCATAAAGCTTCAGGCTTCCTGCCCTCACCACAATTCACTAACAGAATCATATCTAGAATTTACCAAACATTTCCAGTAAGTTCTGGATAAACCAGAATCACATGAAAATGCAGAAAAGCCCAAAAACTCAGAGGAAGTGGCTGGTGTAAAAATGTCAGCGGAAAATATTTTATTAGTTTGTGTCTGGATGAGTGTCGCCGCCTCAAGCAGGACCTGATCGGAGTGTCTAACGGGAGATCGTTAAAATACTAAACTATAGCTTTACTCCGTTTTAAAACAGAAACAGCGATGCAAATGAAGCACTTTTAGTTGACTAAAGGAAGTCATTTATTTCCCCAGTTAGACAAGTTTGGACATTTTATACGTTTGTGTTAACGGTAATTTTGATACTGGTAATTTTGATGGTGGTAATTTTGATACTGGTAATTTTGATGGTGGTAATTTTGATACTGGTAATTTTGATACCGGTAATTTTCTTGTGCCCAGGGGAAAACATGTCCTGAAACGCTTTGTGTGAGTTACTAAAGCTATGAAGGCAAACATGGCGGGTGTAAGGAAAGATTCTGGCTAGTTTCTGAGGTATCCCCTTCCTTATGGGAAGCATTTGGTCTGGGAACTCCCCCATTCAAATAACCCCACCCCCTGAGATTTGTAACCGAGCCAATCAGCGCTGAGCAGCGTACGTCACACACAGCGATGCTGAGTTTCTCATAAACAACGAAGACAGAGTTTGCTGCAGCTCTTTCCTTACTCTAAATGACTTGAACATGTCTCTAAAACTGCATGAAGCAGCGCAAACATCTCGTCACCAGGTACCATTTTTGACTACAGCTAAAAAACTACAGTGTTGCTTTGAACCGTTTTCTGATTGGTTGTTTTTGAGCTGGCTAGTCCCGCCCCTCGTGTAACCCCGGTTTCACACTGCAAGCATCAGCGGAACGGAACGGCAGCGAAGCGGCACCGCTTTAAATAGAATCCAATTATAGTCTATGGAGTGTTTCAATCCAGCCGCAACGCGGCAATTTCCAGGCGCGTCCCAGAAGCGGCACGCCGCGCCGCTAAAGATAGGATCGAGTTCTAATTTTTCTGTGAGCTGCTTCTGGGACATGTCAATTTCCGCAGTTCACATAGTGCGAGACAGGAAACCACACGGTTTCAGTGTAAAATCCCCAGTTATTTTCAAAATAAAATGCAACATTGCGATGCTATATATTAGCACGTGTGACCGAACAGCTTTGTTTACCACCAGTTTCTTTCGAGAAGTGCAGCGGTGTGATTCCTTCCGGGGGCTGTGATCTCTCGATGAGGAAGGTGTCGGAAGTCTTGAGGGATTTTAGAATCTTGCGGGTACAGCGAGGCGCAGCGAGGAAGCCGTGCCGCGGCCAAGACTCTCCCGGTGTGAAAAGGATCGCTTTGAAGTTGCCAAGTGAGCCGCTCCGCTGCTGCTCCGTTCTGCTGATGCTTGCAGTGTGAAACCGGGGTAACTCTTTGCCCGTGAGTAACCAGACTACAAAATACTGCTACTGTTGTCAGAATTATCGTTAGAATATTCAGAAATCTCGTGATATGTTTGGGCAAAATCACCCACCCCGACAGGAATGCTCACAAAAATGTTCAATACTGAGAAAATGGGACTGTTTTTCACGTCTGTATAGCTTCCCGTTGTTTTTAATCCGTGTTGGTGTCCAAACTCAGACATCTCAGTGGTTCATCCAAACAATTCAATCAATCAAAGCTTTATGTATAAAGCGCCTTCCGCAACCCTGTCAGGAAGCCCAAGGCGCTGAACATGGTACAGTAAAAGTACAAATATAGTGAATAAATCAAAAATAAAAGCAATTCAGAAATAAAAGCAATACAAATTACCAAATACAAATTACAAAAAAGGTGAAACATTCTAGTACAGGACAGATGGGTAAAACAAGGGATAGAGTGAACCAATGAAAACTTAATGAAATTCAACGTAAAAGCGGGCCGAATCAAACATGTTCAGGAAACGCCAAGCGGAGAAGGTGTGTTTTTAGGCGACGCTTAAAGGCTGGCAGAGATGGGGACAGCCTAACTGAGGGTGGCAACTGGTTCCAGAGAGACGGTGCTAGGACTGAGAGAGCCCGGTCCCCACGAGTACGACACCTAGAACGAGGGACAGCGAGCAGGCCTTGTTCAGAGGAGCGCAGAGCACGTGATGGGGAATGTCTGTTCAGGAGTGTGGCTGGATAGGGGGGACCACCACCCTGGAAGAAATTGTAAACAAAGACAAGGATTTTGAATTGTGCACGATAGCAAACTGGAAGCCAGTGCAGGGAGGCCAGAACCGGACTGATGTGGTCCCGTTTCCTGGTCCCAGTCAGGAACCTGGCTGCGCTGTTCTGCACAACCTGTAGGCGACGCGGTGATGACTGACACAACCCTGAATAAAGAGAGTTGCAGTAATCAAGCAACTAATCAAGCAATTAAAATAGGTTTCAGTTTATTTGTGACCCATGTTTGAACATTAAATCCTTTGTTCTGGAGATCTGATTATAACCTTTCCGGATTTCCAGGTATCGAATGTTGAGCGACCCTGCAGGCTGGCTGGAAGTAAAAAAGGAAACTGGTGAGATTACAGTGAGAAACCTGATGGACAGAGAGTCCCCGTACGTCAAAGCTGACAAATACACGGCGCTCATCGGTGCATATGATGATGGTAGGTGTGAAGGCCGACTGCTTTAACAGGAAGTGATGGGAACCCTTACCTAACTTTTGTTAAATGATGTTTAAGCTCGTACATCTTGTTCTTTTCATTTTGCTGTCATCTGATCACTAGTAAATGGGTGGAGCCTGATGTCAGCTGTAGTTTTTAGAAATCAAATTTTATCTTCAGTCAGATGAAACAATGGTAGAAAACTTGAAAAGCTGTTCCTGTTGTGCCTGAGAAAGTATTTTAAACTCCTTTCCCTCACGTCTCAGATGCGCTCCCGGCCACCGGGACTGGCACTCTGGTCGTTACGCTTCAGGATGTGAACGACAACGCGCCGGCCATTTTGGAGCGGGATGTCACAGTATGTCCAATACCTGAACAGCTTTCACATGCTCTCTAACGCAGATGAAAACAAATGCACATGTTTATGATGCTGTTGCACATGTTCTGTACAACCTGATAAGCAATACTGCATAAATCTAATGTCCCGAGAACTAACGATATCCAACTTTTGAAAATCTGTGGCGTCTCTGTAACCAGCTCATAGAATTAAATTCAGTTTATTTATGTAGCGCCAAATCACAACAAGAGTCGTCTCAAAGCTCTTCACATGATAAACATTCCACTACAGGTAAGGTAATTAAGCCAATCAGTGACTACGTTTACATGCAGCCAATGATCGGGTTAAGGTCAGTATTCGGGTTTCTGAGTTGATCAGAATAACCCGTTTACAAGCATAAATAGAGAGAGTTACCCCTAACTTGCATAACACGATTTAAATGCGGACGTTGGGGTAGCGTCAGGGCGTGTGGACTACGTCCAGACGCAATATGCATCATTTCCGGTTCTTCTTGTTCCGGTATCCGTGAAAACAACAACATGTTTCCCAGTTCGGAAGAGATGGCGACCGCGTTTGTTTGTGCTTTAGTTTCCTCGTCACTCCAAAAGTGTGGTGCTGTGCCGCGACTCGCCATGTTGCTCCCAACTTGTTGTTTACTTCCGGAGTTCTGGCGCATACAAGACGTCTCGCTACTCAAAAGACCAAGATTCCTTGCGAACAGAGCATGCACAGAACACACGCTTTGATGGGGATATCCCGATATGCATTTACACGACGAAACATTCGGGTTAGAAAAGGGTTACCCCAGGTGTAGTAACCGGGTTTTTAAAAACCCGGTTATGAGCATATCTGGGTTTTTGGCAGTGTTTACATGGACCTGCGGAACCGGGTTATTGTGAATATTCTGGTTTTAAAAGGGTTACTGGCTGCATGTAAACGCACTCGGTAAGAAGTTTCCTATGTAAGGAACCCAGCAGGTTGCATCGAGTCACTGACTAGTGTCAGTCTTTACAGCAATCCTCATACTAAGCAAGCATCCAGCGACAGTGGAGAGGAAAACACCCTTGGAAGACTCCTCCAGAGGATCCTGGCTCAGTTTAAGCAGCCATCCACCACGACTCAGAGCAGAGAAGAAAATACCTTTGCTATTTTTTCTTCTGCAATTGGTGATCATAAATTGAGTACTAATCATTAAGTCGAGGTATCAGCAGCGTGAAATGGTAATGTAACGGGCCACTCAAAAGCTTTGCTGTGCCAGTAAAGATCTGCAAAATCTCAGTCGTGGAGAAGCTTTTTTGCCGTGGTCCTCCCTGGACCCGTGAGACCATAAAATGCCTCGAGACCCCCGAAGGTCATGGTTTATGTGCCATCTGCCATTAAAACAAAAAGGAAAGTCACATTTTGATATTGCTGTTTTATCGTATATGATGAAAAATACAGCTGCACTTTTGGAACAATGCTGGGAGTTAATAAACAGTCAGGTCACATGTATTGATGTAATCTATATAGATATGAAATTGCATCACGCCAATAGTCTTTTATTTTGAAAATTATTGGAGGTTTTACTCTGAAAGTGTGTCCAAAGGGGATGTTGGTGGACATTTTTAGACAAATGTAGAGAAACTGACGTGTTCCAGAAGCGGCTTGCAGCAAAAACAGAACCATTTCCCATCTTCAGTGGCGTGGCGTTTCTGGGACACGCTTCAAATTTTCCGGCTGGTTTGAGCCATCCTCATGGATTATAATGGATTCTGTTTGAAGCACCGCTGATGCTTCCAGTATGAATTAGAGGTAATTTGCTTGCAGCGGACCTCTGCACCTCAGCTCACTGTAATGTTTCAGCAGAAGCTGCACATGGCAGGATTTTTAAAGAATTTATTTGTAAATCAGGGTGGAAAATAAGTATTTGGTCAATAACAAAAATTCAACTCAATACTTTGTAACATAACCTTTGTTGGCAATAACAGAGGTCAAACGATTACTATAGGTCTTTACCAAGTTTGCACACACAGTAGCTGGTATTTTGGCCCATTCCTCCATGCAGATCTTCTCGAGAGCAGTGATGTTTTGGGGCTGTCGCCGAGCAACACGGACTTTCAACTCCCTCCACAGATTTTCTATGGCGTTGAGGTCTGGAGACTGGCTAGGCCACTCCAGGACTTTCAAATGCTTCTTACGGAGCCACTCCTTTGTTGCCCGGGCGGTGTGTTTGGGATCATTGTCGTGTTGGAAGACCCAGCCACGTTTCATCTTCAAAGCTCTCACTGATGGAAGGAGGTTTTGGCTCAGAATCTCACGATACATGGCCCCATTCATTCTGTCCTTAACACGGATCAGTCGTCCTGTCCCCTTAGCAGAAAAACAGCCCCAAAGCATGATGTTCCCACCCCCATGCTTCACAGTAGGTATGGTGTTCTTGGGATGCAACTCCGTAATCTTCTTCCTCCAAACACGACAAGTTGAGTTTATACCAAAAAGTTCTACTTTGGTTTCATCTGACCACATGACATTCTCCTAATCCTCTGCTGTATCTTCCATGTGCTCTCTGGCAAACTTCAGACGGGCCTGGACATGCACTGGCTTCAGCAGCGGAACACGTCTGGCACTGAAGGATTTGATTCCCTGCCGTTGTAGTGTGTTACTGATGGTGACCTTTGTTACTGTGGTCCCAGCTCTCTGCAGGTCATTCACCAGGTCCCCCGTGTGGTTCTGGGATTCTTGCTCACCGTTCTCATGATCATTTTAACCCCACGAGATGAGATCTTGCGTGGAGCCCCAGATCGAGGGAGATTATCAGTGGTCTTGTATGTCTTCCATTTTCTGATAATTGCTCCCGCAGTTGATTTTTTTCACACCAAGCTGCTTGCCTATTTTAGATTCACTCTTCCCAGTCTGGTGCAGGTCTACAATTCTTTTCCTGGTGTCCTTCGAAAGCTCTTTGGTCTTGGCCATAGTGGAGTTTGGAGTCTGACTGTTTGAGGCTGTGGACAGGTGTCTTTTATACAGATAATGAGTTCAAACAGGTGCCATTAATACAGGTAACGAGTGGAGGACAGAAAAGCTTCTTAAAGAAGACGTTACAGGTCTGTGAGAGCCAGAGATTTTCCTTGTTTGAAGTGACCAAATACTTACTTTCCGCCCTGATTTACAAATAAATACTTTAAAAAATCCTGCCATGTGAATTCATGGATTTTTTTTCACATTCTGTCTCTCACAGTTGAAGTGTACCTATGATGTAAATTACTGACTTCTGTCATCATTTTAAGTGTGAGAACTTGCACAATCGGTGGCTGACTAAATACTTTTTTGCCCCACTGTATATTAATACATTCTGTGACATAGCTCGTCAGAAGACTGAGCTTGTTGCTTTGTCTGCTGCTTCTGATTGGACCGGCCCTGTTCTCTTGCAGCTGAGGTTCTCTTCGCCTCCATTCATGTGGTCGCAACTGCAGTCACCTGAGAGGAAGGCATTTTGCTGTAAACATGCATTTGACTCAACAAAATAAGAGTAATATGTCAGTAGCGGCCCCAGCAGAGTCGCTACCCAGCGCTCACGACTGTAGGGGGGGAGGGTTAGGATGGAGATCGACTGGTAAATTGAGAGCTTTGCTTCCTAGCTAAGCAGTCTTCACAGTGGTGTACGCATCACTGCAGATGCTGCCCTGATCCGCCTGCACATTTCCCTCACTCGAATAAGACCTCGAAGCACATGATGTACAACCTCTGCCCTGACCTGGAGTTCAGAATCATGACCTTACAAATAACTGATTAGGTTTCCATGTGTGCTTTCCCACCCAGGTGTGCAACAAGAATCCAGTTTCTCAGCTGCTGACTGTAGTGGATGAGGATGGACCAGGCTTCACGTCACCGTTCAGCGTGTCTGTACATGAAAATTCACAGTCTAACTGGACTGCGAGGATGAACAGCACGAGTATGTGCACCAGTCTGGTTTGGGTTGTTTTTATTCTGTAAAATCTGATGCTGTTCATGAACCTCCTAATGAGAAACCGTTATAAACCTTGTAGTTTTGTAGACGTTCTGTTAAAGTGGAGAACACTGGCAAATTTTTCTCTCCCTTTCCCATAGAAACCGGGATCATCCTGGATTTGAAACCCGGTGTTGCCAGTGGAACGTACTCTGTGTTGCTTAAGGTTGCAGACATCGAGGGACTGCCACAGGTCTGCACGCTCACAGCCAAAGTGTGTGACTGCACCGGAGATAATTTGGAGTGTCTGGATCGGGTCATAGGTGGCACCAGTCTACCAGTCATCCTGGGGATCCTTGGAGGCATCTTGGCACTGCTCTGTGAGTTGCACATTTGTTAGTAATTCAAAAAAAAAATCTCTTAATGGAGATGTCTGGATTCAGTTATCTGATGGGCACCATCTAGTGCAGGGCCATTCAATTCCGAACCTATCCAGTTTTAGTTTAACCTGCTTCAACACACCTGATTTCAATCAGCAAATGATTTACAGACTTCTGCAGAGCCTGATGAGCTGCTGCACAGATGAATCACACACTCAGTGTGTTGGAGCAGTGAAACTTATGGTTTTAATTGCCTGTTTGGTCTCTTTAACTGCATTTCTGGGTGGGGGTGTCACGCACCCTGCATGAGACTTGGCAGTTTTGTGATCAGTCACTCATGCAGGCTGAATGTGAAAATAGTCCTATACCCCTATTTCCTGCATTAGCCACCGATGGGGAAAGCTGTTAGTTTAGCAGCCACGAAATGGAGCATTTTACTGTCAAAACAACTCAAAAGGCTTTCATTTATACTAGAGACCACTGCAGATGTGTTAAGTGAACTAGGTCTTTAAGGGTTCGTGTTCTATAATGTGGGTAAAGTCGTAAGAATCCTGCTCGGGCTTAGACGAGCATCATCTCCGTTCCCCCCTGTGAGATTCTGTTGTTTTTGTGACGATGATGATGATTTTAAAGCTTCTTGCTTCTCTAGTGCTGGTGCTGCTGCTGCTTGCATTTACAAATCGGAAACGACCACAAAAGGGGACGCCTTTGCTGCAAGATGATGACTTACGAGACAACATCTTTTACTATGATGAAGAAGGAGGCGGAGAGGATGACCAGGTAAAACCGTCCGGTTCATCTCTGGAAGAATGGAAACTCGTGTCTGTGGACTAACTAGAATCATTTCTTCAGGACTATGATCTAAGCGTCCTCCATCGTGGTCTGGACAATCGGCCGGAGGTCTTTCGAAATGATGTGGCTCCAGCTTTCTTGCCAGCACCTCAGTACAGACCCCGTCCCACCAACCCGGATGAGATCGGAACCTTTATCGATGATGTGAGAGGAGGACTCGTCAGTTTATGTTAAGTTTTGCCTGTTTCAGTAGATGTCCTAATGACAGTTTGTCCTTCAGAACCTGAAAGCTGCCGACAACGACCCGACTGCCCCGCCCTACGACTCCTTGTTGGTGTTTGACTACGAGGGGGTTGGCTCCGAAGCAGGAAGCCTCTCCTCTCTGAACTCCTCCAGCAGTGGAGATGAGGACTACGACCGCCTCAACGACTGGGGCCCCCGCTTCAAGAAACTGGCCGACATGTATGGAGGAGGAGAGGATGACGACATGCTGTAAACGCACCAGAAAACAAACCCTGGGAAGAAATGTCTGGTTGCAGCACAAAACTCCTTCCAGCCAGACCAAAACTTGTTTGTAATTCTGGTTTTTAGTTAAGTCTGAGCAGGGAGCCCACTGCTCAGGAGCCAAAGGATGAGTTTGTTTTTATAAGTTTGTTCCCTTAAAGATTTGTTTTTATGGCTGATTTCTTTGTACATGTTAGTGAAACTTTAATATGTTTTGTATCATGCTGTGGGAAGATTTCTGTAAAATTATTAGAAAACGGTACAATTTCTCTTTAGTACCGTTTCACTCCCACACACGCTGATAACATCCAGGTAGCTAGCTGACCTAATATCAGCTTGATGAGTTACTAAATGCCTTTTTAAAAATGTTTTTTGTCCAGTTCTGTTCTGCTTTGTCATATCTTTATTACAAAGATTTAATAAATTTGACTTATGTTTTTTTTTATTACAACACACTTGTGAATGTGGTTTTCTGTTAACCAAAACCTAAATTAAAGTGTCCACAGGCAGAAGACACGAGGCGTAGGACAACCGTAGAAGCCCGGAGGACTTAGCAGAGGAAGATAAGAATTACTTCTTAGGCACTGAAGCAGCAGGAGTGAGAAAAAGCACAAGTTCACACAGCAGAACAGTCAAAAGATATTCCAATCAGCAAATTGTAATCCCACTTAGCAGAATCCACAGGCAGAGACCAAGATGAGGAGAAAGCCAGAGCCATGAGGAGAAACGGAGCAGACCAGTGATCCACAGCGAAGCCAGGAGACCGGAAACCCATAGGACGTCCAGAACTCCAGAAGAACCAAAACCCAGGCGATAGTTGGAGAAGCAGCTATGTCATTCCCAGCCAATGAGGACATCTGGCAAAACTCAGCTAAGCATCAAGACACACAGAACATTTGACCATAGACTCTCTCAGATGGTGTCTGATGGAAAATGGCAAGAAAGAAAAACTATTACTATGTACTCTGTGTGTGTTGTGTATGGAGACTATGTGAAAAGGTCAGCTGAAAGATGTGGATGCAGTAAACTACGTGTAATGAAAAAATTGTGCATAAAAGAACAACATAAACAAAACCCTATAATATATGTAAGGGAAAAATGAAAGCTTTTGAGCAAATGTAATCAAACTGGAACCAAAATCATAAAAGTTTGTAATAAAGTAATCAATGTAACGTAAATAAGTATGTATTTGAATGTATCCTAAAATAATAAAATTAAAATGGAAGAAACATGAAGTTGGTCAGTGTTAGTAAGTGTAATGAATGGATAATTACAGTTTAATGACCAGACATTAACGATCCATATAGAGTATGAATCCCATCTAATGGACACAGGGTTATTGAAACCAGAAGATTGGATCTTTTTATTGCAGGGATTAGATAACCGTTACGTATTCACTCAGAGACAACAGAATTGAGAGAGTCAAGTTTGAAAGTTAAGAATTTTGTTACTAACAAATTAAACTAGACTGACTTCAAAACTAAATGTATAGTGTAACTAAAAATGGATGAGGCGGTGAATGGATGACGTGTGATGTAAATCGGAACCAGCATATCTGAAGAAGCGATTAGTTCTGACGGGAACTGAAGGTGTTGTTTTGCATTAAGCTTTGGTTAGCTTCAGAAAAACATGAGTAGGACGGGTTTCCACAACATCTGTCTGCATTCCTTCCTTCGTGGGGGATGTTGTCTGCAGCTTCAAGGCTGCCTTGGCGTCAGATTAGGATAACAAGACTGTGTTTGGGTCAGGCAGAGATAATTTTCCCCTCTGCCTTCAGTCTGTAACTGGTCATTCCAGTCCTTCAGTGAAGCCAATTAGGGTTATTAACATCTCCACACCGTCCGGTGACCCTCTCCGAGATGACATCCATTTTGTGCACTAACACCGGTAACGCAGCTAAGACATTTTCCAGCTTACGATTCACCTCGAGTAACGTCCCAGTCTGTGAGGTCTCCGCCCGGACGGTGCTGTCCATGGGTGCGGGTCGCCGTGCAATCGCTCCCGTCTTCCCAATTTTCCGGTAAACCAGATATCCTCCCACTCCAATCAGAAGAAATCCAGTGATCATCAGGCCAAATATCCACATATCTTCGACATCCTCAATGGACAGCTGAGAGAGACAGACGACCTTCCACTCCTTCCAGGAATCGAGCATATATCCCGCTGCGTGTGTCCCATGAGGGCAAGTGGGAGCCCCCTCCTCCGTTCTCATCGTAGAAAAAATCTTATCAATCGCGTTGAATGACCAATTAATTAAATCCATTTCTGAAAAATAGTGATTTCCAGAGGAAATGCAGAGAAGCGCTCTGTAGGCAGACAGGACAAAAGAGCCTTGGGAAAAAAAAAAGATAAGGGAGCAAAGCAGAAGCGTCTGTGCTCTGTGAGTGCCAGAAGAAGGAGTTATATGAGTTCTTTAATTAAAAGAAAAGAGTTCATTCTTCATTCTTCTGTTGAGCTGAAAATAAGCAGGTTAGAAGGAATGCATGAGACCTTGAGACTATCTCTCATGCAGCCTAGTCCTGAGCAAAGAAGGGAAAAATAAGAGTCGTTCCGTTACATAAGCAAACCTATACAGGTCCTCAAAAAATTAGCATATTGTGATAAAGTTCATTATTGTCTGTAATTATTAGATTCATTACACACAACTTAAGTAGTTCAAGCCTTTCATTGTTTCTAATATGGATGATTTTGGCATACAGCTCATGAAAACCCAAAATTCCTATCAAAAAATTTGCATATTTCATCCGACCAATAAAAGAAAAGTGTTCTTAATATAAAAAAGTCAACCTTCAAATAATTATGTTCAGTTATGCACTCAATACTTGGTCGGGAATCCTTTTGCAGAAATGACTGCTTCAATGCAGCGTGGCATGGAGGCAATCAGCCTGTGGCACTGCTGAGGTGTTATGGAAGCCCAAGATGCTTCGATAGCGGCCTTAAGCTCATCCAGAGTGTTGGGTCTTGCGTCTCTCATCTTGCTCTTCACAATATCCCACAGATTCCCTACGGGGTTCAAGTCAGGTGAGTTGGCAGGCCAATTGAGCCCAGTAATACCATGGTCAGTAATTGACCAGTGGTTTTGGCACTGTGAGCAGGTGCCAGGTCGTGCTGAAAAATGAAATCTTCATCTCCATAAAGCTTTTCAGCAGATGGAAGCATGAAGTGCTCCAAACTCTCCTGATAGCTAGCTGCATTGACCCTGCCCTTGATAAAACACAGTGGACCAACACCAGCAGCTGACATGGCACCCCAGACCATTGTAGCGTTATGGATTTATGCTCTTTTATGAAAGAGAAACCATGCTACGTATTAATTCGGAATATTAATTTTAATAAATCAATAACCAAATTTTATATTGTTCAGAAGACTCAAAGGTTGTTTTCATCCATAAACTGCCGATAATATCTGAGTGTCTGTGTTTCAGTTCAATGAGGAAACAAGTTTGAAGGATTAAAAGTTTTAATTCTTCAAATTAAACTAATGATTTTGAAAATTGACAAACTTTGACTAAATTGACACTGGACTTCAGGCATTTTGGCATTTCCCTCTGCCCAGTCTTCCTCCAGACTCTTGCACCTTGATTTCCAAATGACGTGCAAAATTTACTTTCATCTGATAAAAGTACTTTGGACCACCAGTGCTGCTTCTCTGTAGCCCATTTCCTGCACACGCCTGTACACGGTGGCTCTGGATGTTTCTGCTCCAGACTCAGTCCATTGCTTCCGCAGGTCCCCCAAGGTCTGGAATCGGTCCTTCTCCACAATCTTCCTCAGGGTCCAGTCACCTCTTCTCGTTGTGCAGCATTTTCTGCCACACTTTTTCCTTCCCTCAGACTTCCCACTGAGGTGCCCTGATACAGCACTCTGGGAACAGCCTATTCGTTCAGAAATGTCTTTCTGTGTCTTACCCTCTTGCTTGAGGGTGTCAATGATGGCCTTCTGGACAGCAGTCCGATCGGCAGTCTTACCCATGATTGCGGTTTTGAGTAATGAACCAGGCTGGGAGTTTTTAAAAGCCTCAGGAATCTTTTGCAGGTGTTTAGAGTTAATTAGTTGATTCAGATGATTAGGTTAATAGCTCGTTTAGAGAACATTTTCATGATATGCAAATTTTTTGAGATAGGAATTTTGGGTTGTCATGAGCTGTATGCCAGAATCATCCATATTAGAAACAATAAAAGGCTTGAACTACTTCAGTTGTGTGAAATGACTCTAATACACATGAAAGTCTAATGTTTATCAGTGCATTAAAGATGTAACTGTGGAAAGGCTATGTAAAGAAGTGATTGTTCATGCATGGTTTTAATTTGATTTTATAGTTTTATACTGCATGCTTTTATTTTGGCAGACCAGCAGAGGAAATAAGGGAGAGCAGAGAAGGCCAATTGACTTTTGCTTGGAAACTGACAGCATGCTGTAAGACCAAACAGACAGGACTGGGCCTCTATACCCTACCTTTTGACAATCAAGCACCTAGCTGGAATTGGGAACAAGGTATCATTTGATGCATGTGTTTTATGTGGATTGATGTGATTTTCTATGTATGTTGTTGTGTTTAAAGTGGTTAAATGCAGAACAATGGTAACAGCCATCTCAACCATGGAGCCAGGTGAACACCCATGCTAATATTAGCCTTTGTGTGGTTCACATGCTTGGACTTAGTTTTAATATTGGTTTTAGCTTTTAACATGTTATGCACATTTTTGATCTCACTCAACCTACTACTAATGTAGATTCAATAATATTGTGAATGGTTATATGGCATAAAGGTCATCTTTGTAAGAGCTCATTATAATTTCATTTATCTGTTTTATTTAGCTCTTATGGTGTTTCAAGAAAGAAAAGGTGGATTTATGTTCAAAATAAGGATGCCAGCTGAACATAAATAAAAATACCTTGAGAAACATCAGTACGCTTCACCATTGTCTGGCTGGGTTCGCTACAGTAAGAGCTTGTTCCCAATTCCAGCTAGGCGCTTAATTGTCAAAAGGTAGGATATAGAGCCCCAGTCCTGTCTGTTTGGTCTTACAGCATGCTGTCAGTTTCCAAGCAAAAGTCAATTGGCCTTCTCTGCTCTCCCGTATTTCCTCTGCTGGTCTGCCAAAATAAAAGCATGCAGTATACAATTATAAAATCAAATTTAAACCATGCATGAACAATCACTTATTTACAGAGCCTTTCCACAGTTACTTAATGGTTGCCCCTCATCAAGCCTGATGATATGCTGCCACCCTTGATGAGTCATGATGGAGGATCTTCATGCCTGATCTACAATAAACCAAGCAGGATTTGGTGCAATGGTCAAGTACGGTAACAGTTGGAGACATTGAAGCTGAACTGTGATTGATCTGCAATTATACAGACTATGGATGAAAGACTTTGTGAACTAAATCAATGAACAGTTAAATTACCTGCTCAACAAATCACAAAGAGGAACTTTTACAGCATTCGC